ACGACATGCAGTTAGCCATCAGAATCTTAGGCTTATTCTTCGACCCTGGCTGACAGCCGCACTTCCGCTTCGCCATAGCGTTGTTCGAGCCAGGGCAGCAAGTACACATCATCTTAAGGTGTGTGGTTTCGCAAAGCACTCACTCCACTTTCACTTTCAAAAATGATTTCTCCTGTGGCGAGGTGGTGGAACGAAGCCCTTATTTGTGTAATTGAAGCGGAGATTTATTTGGAAAGCAAATCCAAAAAAATACGATTTTGAAAATTTAATGTTAACTAACATCTAATAGCTAGCTTTTTTTTTGGGGAATATTATGGCCTTAGCCCTTTTCATTAATATAAACTTGTTACATGTAATGAAGAAGAAAAAAAAAACAACATGAAAGTAAAGTAAAGATCTTGCCAAAGCATACAAGATCCAAAAGAGGGGTAAAATACAGAAACCCCACATAAAAAACATTATTAAAAAAAAATAAGAGCAGAAAATAAATACACAGGAACATAAAACTGCATAGAAGGAAGAGAAAGAAAATTGAAGCCACGGGCTCAGGAATTGCCGCTATCTAAACCTGGTTGAAAAAATGAATCCCAAAATTCCTTCCATCGAAAGGAGAAAATGGCAATCCGAACATCATTGCCCATTTTAGCACGATAAACCGCACCAGCCACTGCAAACAGGAAACCAGCAAAGCAAAATCCCACAGGAAAAACACAAAAGGTGCAACCTGCACAACTTAAATACACCGTTTAATCAGTGTCAAAGGCAGATGTGCAGCAACCAAATCCCTTACAGCAAATCAATTAAAGTTCCACCCTTTTTCCACTTCATGATTTTAGAGAATACTGCAGTTTTTATTTTGATAGCTAAGGAGGTCAATGATACAGTTTTTCCACCAAATTTTCTATCATTCCTTTCACGCCATATGTGATAAACCGCAGAACATACCAGGAGAAAATACAAATCCTTATCTTTAGAGTGAGTTTCATCAATGTATTCAAACAGCTGCAGTATATTGGGTCTAAGCAAAAGAAACCAAAGATTTCTCATCAGAGTAGAGATTATAGCAAATGAGTAATCACAATCGAAAAAGATATGGCTAATGTTTTCATCATAATAGTGGAAAAGAGCACAAGTATTGCTAACCGAAATACCCCTAGAGATAAGACGGTCCGCAGTTTTAAGGCCTCCCTTTAAAGCCATCCAGCAAAATGAAGAATATCTAATCACATACCTCTTATGCCACACAAATTTCCACCAGCTTACTTTGGGAAATTCTCTAAAATAAAATGCTCTATAGTGCTTGTGATTACATTTCTTACCATCACCCCAGTATAAGTTATCAGTGGGGCCATCATTAATATGAATTTCAGAGAAGGCACAGTGAACAGCAACAGGCAAATCAGCAGGCAAGGCCCACTGAACACCATCAATAATAGCCCATATATTTTCATTTACAGGAAAGGAACCAAGCAAAGGGTGCAGCTCAACAAATTAATTTAGTCTTTTTCCTTTAAACAAATGGTCCCAGTAAAGAGAGTAACATGAGGAAGAATTCACTCTGAAATGAAAATTCTGTTTTGCAATGAGAGCATCTTTACAAACATTTTTCCAAAATTTAGAGACTTTAGAGATAGGCTCTTTCCAAGGGGAAATATAAGTTTTAAAAAGCCAAGCACTTAAAGGGCCGTGAGTATTATAAATCCTAGCAATGAGTGAATAGTTGTAACAAAACTGGATGGATTGAATATAAGGAAGACCAATCCCTCCCATCTCAATAGGCTTGCAGGTGTTCCTCCAAGCAATAAGGTGCAACTTTTTGGCACTAGCATCACCAAAGTATAAGAATTTGGCACATAGTTTGTCAATTTGCTTAATAATAGTTTTAGATATAATGCCACCATGAATCCAGTATGCAATAGTATTCCATATGGTGTACCTTAAAAACTGCAGCCTACCCGCAAATGACAGTGCTTTGGCCTTCCATCCAAACAGCTTCCTAATGACATTCTCCAAGAGACAAGAAAAATTGGCAATCTTCGGGTTGTATGGAGAAAAAGGCACACCAAGATAGGACATAGTTGAAGAGGAATTGGCTATATTAAGGGCAGCACAAATGCTAGCAGCATTGTTACAGTTGGGGGGGTAAAATAACAGAGCTTTTCTCATAATTAACATAGAGCCCTGAAGCATCAGAGGACACCTTGAGAACTTGTGTAAGTTTTTCACAATTAATAATATCAGCTTTCCCGAAATTGATTAAGTCATCAGCATATAAAAGATGAGAGAGCCTGTACTCCCCAATAGTGAGAGCCTCAAAACTGCTATCATGAATATTGTAATCGAGCAAACTAGAAAGGGCATCCATCACAATGCTAAAAAGATAAGGACTAAGGGGACATCCCTGCCTTAACCCATTTTTTGAAGGGAAGAAGCCTTCTAAAGCACCATCAATGCATAACGAGTACCAAACATCTTTGATACAAGCATCAATCCAACCCAAAAAAACGTCAGGAAAACCCTTTTGTTTCATCCTAGTCGTAAGAAATTCACGAGAGACACTATCAAATGCTTTTTTGATATCTAGCTTTACACACATAAGCTTGAACTTGGAAGTTTTCCTAGAATGCTGAAGAATTTCATTAGCAAGGATAATATTGTCAGAAGAGATTCTATGTTGAATAAACCCAGCTTGATTATCTTTAATAATGAGAGACATAAGAGGTTTCATCCTATCAGCCAAAACCTTAGCAATGACTTTATAAGTGGTATTGCATAAAGCAATAGGCCTAAAGTCAGAAAGAGTCTCAGCATTATTAGATTTTGGTATAAGTGTTATTGCAGTGGCCTTAGTAGTGCGAGGGATGTAGGCATTGCGGTGGAACCCCTTAATAGCTTTGCAAACCGTATTGCCAATTAATAACCAAGTGGCTTTAAAAAACTCAAGTTAAAACCATTAGGTCCTGGTGAAGAGTTGGAAGATCCAGAGAAGACAGCTTTCTTAATAACAAGATTAGTGAAAGGCAGTACAAGAGGCTCGGCCATAACAGCAGAAATAACCTTACCAGTTGGGAAAGGCTCAGTGCCAAGGTCTGAATAATGAGAATCATTGAAAAGATTGTAGAAATAAGAGATTGATTCCTGAATAGCATCTGACACAGTAGCCCCCGAGTTATTCATTGCTAAGGAAATGACAGTATTTCTAAAACTTCTCCTTAACCAAATTTTAGAATAAAGGAATTTTAGATCCTCTTCTCCCTGCGATAGCCACTTAGTTTTAGCTCTCTGTTTAATCCAGGAATACCACATAGAAGAAGCCACCTCAAGCTAACTATTTATATTTTTAAGCTCCAAAGAGGCCTACTGTAAATTAACATCAAAATTCAACTTGTTAAGACAAACAAGTTGCTTTTCTTGAAGATGTTTAAGGTGCTCTGCCATCTTATTAGAATTAGCCCATGGTTTGCCTATAATAGGCAATTTCACTTGCTTAAGTTTAGTAGCTAGATCAACTAAGAGATTTCCGTTAGCTTTGGTCCCAAAAATACCCATCAAAAGATACCAGAACTGATCACTTTTCGCCCAATAATTTTTGAATAAAAATCAGTGCCTAGAGGTGAGATTCTCTCTAGATTTGAGAATGATAGGGCAATGGTCAGAACCATCAGAATTTCTGACCATAAAATACGATTCAAGAAATGTTGACAACCAAAATTCATTAACCAACATACGATCCAAACGAATATGAATTGGTTTGTCTGTCCTCTGATTATACCAAGTAAAAGAAGGACCAATGGAAGCCAAATCACAAAGGTTAGTATTAAAGATGAGACTATTAAAATCATAAAGCTAATTTTGATGAAGAGAATTCCCTCCTAATTTTTCAGAGGAGAACCTACAGCAGTTGAAATCTCCCATGACTATCCAAGGAATACCCCCAGAAGGAGATACATTCCTTAAAATCATCCCAAAGAGCTTTTCTACCTATCTGATGATTAGAAGCATAAATCACAGAAAGCAAAAAAGGAGTGCTAGTACCATAGAATACCATACCAGCAATCATTTGAGATGAGAAGAAGGTAGGTTGAAAATCCAACCTATCAGCGTTCCATTTAATCCAGATCCTACCATGATTAGCATAGTTGAAATTGTTGCAACTGGATTCTAAATCGAATACCTTGTGGCAGTTGAGGAAGCTCAGATAAGAAAGGCTAGAGAGTTGTATTCTATTCTCTAGAATACAAACCATATCCAAGCGAAGCGATTGAATAAGTAGTTTACATTGTGACACCTTATTAGAGGAAGAGAAACCTCTAATATTCCAAGCCGCAATAGTTGGACATATCATTTACGCTTAGCGGAGGAGGTAGGAGGCTTTTTCGAACTCTTTCCTTTGGCATTTTTCCCTTGGGTTGTTTTTGTTTTACTTTTATTCCCCCCAGAATTAGAAGTCTGCTCCGAAAAGGAAGAGCTTTCACTTCCAGAGGTAGAAGGAAGTAAATCATCATCAGCTTGCTTTAAGATAGCTATATCATCGAGACCCTGGAGGGACGAAAACTTGTTGCTCATCTGCAAGGAGAGAGGAATAGGTGTGCTGGAATGAAGTAATTCGGTTTCTCCAATACCTTCATTAGTAGGGGAGTTAAGATTGGGATAGGAATGTTGCCAATTCCAGTGGGATCACTACTAGATTCTATCAACTCATCAGGATTGAGATTATCAGGATTAGCAGAATGCATTTCGGTAGATGGCTCAGCATGTTCAACCACCACTACAGTTTTACCAGTAACATTACTATCTTTAGGAACCCAAATAACCTGAGAAGGAACTAAGGCCAGATTGGTAGCAGAGGGAGTTGCGACATTAGGCATAGATTTGGGTGGAACAAAAGAAGTGGCAGCCACATTCACCCTATTATTTTTTACAGAGGATTTCCTGAGTTGGTTATGTTTCCTGGGATTATGTGAGGCGCTGCGACCCCTATTTTGATTGAGAGAGTCCTGCTAAGAAGGCAGTGAGGTAGGGCAATTCAGAGTTTGATGAGCTAAAGACGCACATGAAGCACAGGGAATGGGCTTCCATTCATACTGAATTTGCATTCTGATAACATCCCCTTCAATCGCTACAGCTACACTCTCTAGAAAAGAAGAGGTAGTAGAAACTTGTATACATATTCTAGCATATATTAGTCTGGATTTGGTTGCAGTTAAAGCATCTACCGCTATAGGGATTCTGATTTTGGAAGCGATTTTTGAAATTCCCTCAGAGTTCCAACAAACTAAGGGAAGATTGTGAATCCTAACCCAAATGGGAACATATGTGAAGTTCTCTCTGGTGGGATTGAAACTTTTTGTCCATTTCTGAAAAATGAATGGATTTCCATGGAAGAACCAAGCCCCCTTAGACCACACCATATCATAATCTTTCGGTAAAGAGAACTTGAACAGAAAAAAACCGTCCGTAAGAGCAATAAGTTCAAAAGTACCTTTGAGCTTCCATATACGCATAGCAGTTTCTTTTAAGGCTTCATAGTAAGGACGCTTACCTACCGAATAGCCTACAAGACAGAGGTTCCATTCCACAACTGCTGGCTCCGTGAAGTCTTTTTCAAAAGGAATGATCTCTTTCGGAGTTTCCATGAGAGATACAGGTATGTGAGGAGCAGAGGTCCAGGATCAGCAATGATATAGACCACAAACGGTCTAGAGCTCGGGAGGCTGGAGCTAAGGCGCAAGCAGAAGCTTGATCCATGGAAGGAAAAGGTTTGTATCAAGCGAATCCATGGAGTCCACCGGAGGGAAGAAGGCGAAGAAGCAGGCGCAAAGGAGAAGACGGCTAGGGCATCCTCTCGCTCACTTTCCTCACTTCATAAGAGCTATTTTACAATTTCAATGCAAAAGATTGATCTCAACTGGAAAATATTTCCTTTTTTAAAATGTTAAGTCGAAAGTACTTTTTCTTGAAGAGGAGATAATGTAACTATGTTCATCATTCAAGATAAGCAATACAAGTCTTCTATATAATTTTTAAATATTATTTTTTGTGCCCAAAATTAAATGGCTTAATAAAAGAAAATTACCCACATATTCACCCTAATCAACTAGGGTGCAAAAAATGAGTTAAATTTTTTAATTACGAAAGAATATTTTATTTAAAATAAAAAAGATTAGAAGGAGGCGAGTTGCCCATGGCTGGCCCAATTGATAAAAATATACTTTTAAAAAAATTAATTATTTATAATTTGTATTTTGGAAGAAAATTTAAAAACATTTTTAAGTTTAAAATTTAGATATATATTAAATTTATTATTTTGAATTATATTTTTTTATGTATGCTAATTTAATGAATTTTATGTTTTAATTAAATATTTGTATTAAAATTTGAAATTATTAATAAATTTTAAATTTTTACAAGAAGCTATAATTTTATTAAATTTTGATGAAATGAAAAAAGAATTTAAGGAAATTAATCCTAAATTCATTTTAAGTCAGGAAATAAAAAAGTTAAAAACTATATATATATAAGAAGAGTGATAGATACCCATAATATTATTTCGATGAAAAAAAATGAAATTACATAATAGTAATTCTTGCATAAATTATTAATTAAAATTAAATGTATGTCGTTCCTCCTAAAATCTTTTATAAGACAAGTTGTAAAATGCTGGAGTCCCCAATTTAAGTAGGTACCATGAAGCACATGATGTGTATTAACACAAGTAACGAGCAATGACAATAAGTTTACTGTTACCTTGGTTACCATTCGGTTTCACTACATATGCCAACTTATAATTTCATAGATTAATATTTGAATGATGATAATCTAGTTAATTGATATGCACTTAGCCTTCGACTGTTCGACATCCACTAGCTAGATAAATGGCTCTTTTAGCTCAACATCTATGTGTAGTTAACCGGTAAATAGTCTAATAACATAAATATTGTTATATGACATTTTAAAATTTTGTCTTGATCTTATTTATTTTAAGAGAAAACTAACTTCTATCTTATTTCACAATTTTACCCGACAATCCTGTTGAGTCTAGTAATTAGGTTGTTAAGCCTAAGTAAATGCTATCTTATTTCACAATTTTACCCGACAATCCTTTTTTCTTAAAACTGTAAGCTAAGTTGTTGTAGTAAAAAACGAAGTTAAGATTAATTGAACCTTCTTATGAAAAAGAGGGCACATGATTGATTATCTTTTATTGCAGATACAATAACTTATAGAAAGATTTTAAGATTTTGTATTTTGATAATTTTAACATTTAAAATTCTTTAATTAAGTTTTTAAAATAAACACTTGGTGAGAAAACATAAATAATGATTTGAAAATAGGTGAAAAAGGAACTAATAATATACATTTGATTGGTTTTATTTTAAACAATATCTCGATTGTAAAAAAAAAAAAAAAACGTAAAATATTGAATTGTTTGTTTAATTTTTGTGCCATTTAAAAATTTTTAAACAAGAGAAATATGAGCTTTTATATGATAAGATAAAGAAAATTTGAAAAGGATAATTAAAATTTTATTAGCTAAACAAATTTTAGATTAATTAATTAATATAGGTGAGAATTAAATTTTATATCTCATACTTTGTGAGATCTATGTGATGTGATTAATATTAGCTAGCATGCCTAATATTTATTGTTTAATTTGTTAAATGCCTTTAATTTAAGCGCAAAACAAAAATTGGATTGCTCTAATTCTATTATGCTTTTTTCTAACTTCATATGAGAGGCTTTAATTACTGAGATTTGCGCGAAAAAATGATTTATTATAATGTAAAAAAGAGATGAGAGAAGTCAAAGATAAGTGAATGACCACAAAATAGTTGAAATGATATTGATATTAAGTTATTAATGACTCATCTTATGATAGGATTATCAATCCTAATCAAGTAAATAGAGCTTGCTCAATCTCCAAAAGAAATAAGAGAACATAAATTAGATATAAGAAAAGACTTCATTTATTCATCTCATGCTCTCATCATTTCCACAATGGCTATTTATGCAATACAATGCCTACCTTAAGCTAATTACTATTTAATTAATCATATTTAACTACTAAACATCATATTAACATCATATTTATGATATTTTATTGTATATTAGGGGTATAGGTTGAAACTTGTTCAATATGGCTTGGTTTGACTAATTCAAGGTTTGACTTGGTCAACCCAGTCAATTAGGTCAAAGAGGATGAATATTTGAGTCTGAGGAAAATTTGATTTGATTTAAAATTGATTTGGACTTCAATAGACTCATTAGAGCCAATTGGGTCAACCCGGGTTGACCTGGTCAACCAGGTTGACCCAGGGGCATGGGTCTGGGCCCAATAGATTGGATTCGTACCAATATTCATACGTAGAGTACCCTTTTCTACCCTTACTACCCACCCCCACCTTATGGTGCCCCTCCTGCTTATCCATATCCACGATATGTTTTTCCATACTATCCCCCACCACCCCCTCAGCTCGCTACATGTGGACCTTCGACCCCAGCTGCACCAGAGCAGGCGACAGATGGTCGAATGATAATTGCACATGATGGTGACACGTATGTACATTCTCTTTTACTTAACCTCACAAACATATTTTTTTATATTATATGCTTTTTTCACCTAACATATTTTTATAGGTTCTACCCATCAAAATAACTAACACATAAAATACGGGACATAATACAAAGCAGGTAAGATGCTCCTTATTTTTCTTGGAAGAAAGTCCCGAAAGAAGTCTGGGAAATGTGGTTTAGAGAATTTGAGGTATTTGTGTTTAATATTTTTTATGTTATGTCTAAATAAATAGTATATTCTTTTTAACTTAAGCTAACAAACATATATATTATATATTATATTTTTTAAATATAAAAATATTTTTGTTGGCTGCCCTAGTATAATGACAAAATTAGAAAGAATTTTGAGAAGTGTGGGTCCACTCAAATGCGTGACATGTTTAGGCTA